GTGATCAATTCATGAATCTGATTCAGAGCTGTGACCGGAATATGAACGCACGGTACAACAGAATCGTACTCCGAAAGATCCGGAACATCCGGAACAACCTCTAGTAGACGTCTTATCCGAATGAATTCAGAGTTGTGATCAGAATATGGACAATGGGGACAACGTAATGGTCCTCGAAAGATCTGGAACATCCGTAAAGTGGTCAATTCATGAATCTGATCCTGGTTTTTACGACGTCTTATCAGAATGATTTCGGAGTTGTGATCGGAATGTGGACCCAGGGTATCACGTAATGAACCTCTGGAAGATCCAGAACATCTGTAAAAATGGTCAATTCATGAAACTGATTCTAGAACTCAGCGATTTTTTTCGAAATTAGTCATAGAAGTCACATCAATATGAATTCGGAGTTGTGATCGGCAAATAGCCCCTGGGGACTACGTAATGCTCCTCCACAAGCGGTCATTTCATGAAGCTGATCCTAAAACTCCTGAGTTTTTTTCGAAAACTCTCATAGACGAGAATGAATTAGGAGTTTAGACTGGAATATGGGATTTTTAGTATACCACTAGTATACTATAGTTTAACCTGTTAAACATGTTTACTATTTCACACGCTAAAAAAATTTTCCCAATTCTCCAAAAAGAGCCCATATCTTTTTTATGAATTGATTCCTTAACGCACCATAGGGTTACTTTCAATATCGAGATGAAATCGGCGTGAAAATTTGTATGCAGGGTTTTTTTTTTGGGGCAGGGAAAGGTTCATATGATGGTTCGAGACCCCTCTCCCCTTTGTAAGGGGGGGCTCCCATACAAATGAAACAGAAACTTCTGCATAACTCGAGAACTAAAGGGTGATCGGTCAAAATTTGGTCAATATCAACTTGACGTATTTCTTTCAATTTTGCATTTAAAAAACCTGAACACCCCTCATTTTGAAGGTGTGTGTGTGTAGAATGTTGCTCCTATTTTGATTTTGGAATTCACTCTTCAGTTGTCAAAATGCCGTCCAAGCAAGAAGAGCAGCGTATCAAAATTTTGCTCGCGCATCGCGAAAATCCGAGCTACTCGCACGCAAAGTTGGCAAAATCGCTAAAAGTTGCCAAATCAACCGTTACAAATGTAATTAAAGTGTTTGGGGAACGTTTGTCGACAGCCAGGAAGTCTGGATCGGGGGGAAATCGAAAACCGGAAGCCGCTGAGACGACAAAGAGAGTTGCCGGTAGTTTCAAGCGAAACCCTAACCTCTCTCTCCGAGATGCCGCAAATAAGCTGGGTGTATCGTCTACAACCGTGCATCGAGCCAAAAAACGAGCCGGACTATCGACTTACAAGAAGGTAGTGACTCCAAATCGCGATGATAAACAAAATACGACGGCCAAAGCGCGATCCCGGAGGCTGTACACGACGATGCTGACGAAGTTTGACTGCGTGGTAATGGACGACGAAACCTACGTCAAAGCCGACTACAAGCAGCTTCCGGGACAGGAGTTTTATACGGCAAAAGGAAGGGGAAAGGTAGCAGATGTTTTCAAGCACATGAAACTGTCAAAGTTCGCAAAGAAATATCTGGTTTGGCAAGCCATCTGTACCTGTGGCTTGAAAAGCAGCATTTTCATAGCTTCCGGGACTGTCAACCAAGAAATTTACGTGAAAGAGTGTTTGAATAAACGTCTGCTGCCTTTCCTGAAGAAACACGGTTGTTCCGTACTGTTTTGGCCGGATTTGGCATCTTGCCATTACGGTAAAAAGGCCATGGAGTGGTACGCCGCCAACAACGTGCAGGTGGTTCCCAAGGACAAGAACCCTCCCAACACGCCAGAGCTCCGCTCAATTGAGAAATACTGGGCTATTGTCAAGCGGAACCTAAAGAAGACCAAAAAAACTGCTAAGGGCAAGCAGCAGTTCAAGGCAAACTGGCTTTCTGCGGCGAAGAAGGTGGACAAGGTGGCTGTACAAAATCTGATGGCAGGGGTCAAGCGTAAGGCCCGGCAATTCGGATTTGGAAAAGCGGAAGCCTAACTGAATATTTTTCCTGAATTTTATACTAATTGAACTTGAAAAAGAAATTTAATTTGATTTTTTAAATAAACGATTTCACCGATTTACACGCGTTTTCCCTTGACCAAATTTTGACCGTATCACCCTTTAATCAAGCAAATGGAACCAAATTTGGTATGTGGAGGTTATAGGGGGTAGCCCCTTAGATAAGGGGCGGAGCCATTTCATAGCAAAACGTTATAGTGGGTCTCGGAATTTCGTAAAAATTTGTAGTATTGTTCCTTAGGGTTGATGCATATATTATGTCACGCTCAAGGGAGGGGGGTGTCTAAGATTTTGTGACAAGCAATGCATAAGGTATAGGAAAAACGTCACGATACATTGTCATTAGGGTGACCATTTCCATGTTAGTCAATATGGTCAATAAATCGTTTGTTTTTTCAAAAATGACTTTTTTCAAAAATTTATAACTTTTTAACCACTGAGCCGATTTCAAAGATCAAAATATCAAATGAAATGTAATTAAAAATATAATAATATAAAAAATGTAATTTTGTATTTTTATGGTTTGATATTTTTCCTTGAAAATTTCGGCTTTTTCACACAACATATCAAAAAAATCAGTGATGTCCTTTTTTCGTTTTTGCATTTTTTTTTTGAGAGTGTGAGAATTCAGAACTGAGCTGTCCACTATACAATAGGTCGTGTTGACAGCAACCTTATATTTAGTCGAGATGTCGACTTAAGCAAGCAATTTTTCCGCATGAGATACGATCAGTCTTGTCATTCAGCACAACTTTACTGAAGACAACAAACTTTTATCTAGTAGTACTTTCAAGTTATAGCTAGCAATAAGGTGTCAAATTGAACACTAGCGTCACCTGGTGAGTGAATTTTTAATACCATCATCCAATAGGTCTTATTGATCAGAACAACTTTGTCCAAGACCGCTACCTTCTATCTAGTCGAGGTTGCAAGTTAAACCAATAAGAATTTCAAACTACACCATCCAATAAGTCGCTCGAACAACTTTTCCAAAGACTGAAACCTTCTATCTAGTCAAGATGTCATGTTAAGCAGATAATTTTAAAACAAATGCCACCTGGAAGACGAATTCTGAGTTCAACTGTTCACCTTCCAATATTTTCCATCTGAAAAACTTTTATGAAGACCGCACCACAGTGTGATGCCATAGTAAATTTTGAAATGATTACTGACTTAAAATTACCCTTTGTGCCCTTGTAGGAAATAACGATGAATAATGTTTATTTTCAATAACTGGTTACTAGAGAGGATCTAGTATAAGGAGTGGATTCAAAACAAACTGGCTTGGCAACCTATGCCTAGGTGATTTCTAGCAACACTGTCAATGCAATCAAGATAGGCGCTGCTTGATTAACTCTTGCTTTGACAGTTCGTTTGGCTCAGAACCAGCCAGTCCGCTCCTCTATTATACTAGACCCTCTCTACTGGTTACCAGTTCTAATGACCTAAACTGAATCGTAGAAAGTGGGGTTACTCACTGAGTGAGTCAACAATCGAGCATATGTCGAATATTCGAGAAAAAATGTATTCAGTCTTCACGACCGATAAAAGTAACTCAGTACCTGAGTCAAGTTCAACTCAAAATTGCATGGGCATTGTAGGGGTACCCGTTAAACAAATTCAAAGTAAGTGCTGTTTAAATGGAATTTAAGCTATTCATACTAAACAGGACACGATTTTCAAGATGTTTTTCATGGAAAGTCGAGGAGAAATTTGCTCGTTCCCTGATTAACCCCTATTTTTTGCAATTTCGACTAAAATCCAACTCAATTTTGAGTTACTCTCATTGGCCATGTACTAGTTTACTTATAATGTTAAAAGACGTAATTTTTTTTATTATATTCAAGCAGACTTTTGCAGGAAGATCGAGGATAATTTTACTCACCCAGAAAGTAACCAGACTCTCTATTATTTTGAGAGAAATCATGATCAATTTTGATTTAGTCTCATCGGCCGTGTACGACTTCTAACTATGTGACAACCGCCACATCTACATTCGAACTGAAATAAAATGTACAGGCACGCTCTTTTATAACCTCGCAATAGTCGAAATCGGCTCGACTCTCTTTGTTCTCTCGATAGTCATAGCAAGCAAGTACGTGATTGGTTGATTGCGGCCAAAAAGTTTGATTAAACTTCAATAGTTTACTAACAATAAATAACTATAATATTTATACCAAACAAATCTTACATCAAATCTGAGTCAAATGGTGTGAAAAGAATTGAAATCCATCAATATATGGCCAAGATATAAGTGTTTAAAATCTTACACTATTTCATCACACAATTGTTTGATTTGTAGCCCAGTATAGTCCACAAAGACGTAGTCGTAGTCTTGGGAAGTCGGAGGACAACTTCAGGAAAATCCAGAATCGAAATTGGCTTGGAAATCTCATCAGAACTCTCTAAAAATTCTTCGCATAACTTATTTAGAATATTCATTAGAAATATGGACCGCAATGCTCTTCACAATCAACATGTAATTTCCGCCAGAACTACCTAAGACATCTACTCTGAACTCACACAATTGATTAGGAATTCGAATCAAAACTCTCTAAGAGTTCTTCGCGAGACTCCCTTGGAATTTTCCGCTTAACTATCTTTTTGTTATCCCTACAATGCATTCTAAAATCTCATCCAGATTCTCTTCATAGTTCTTCAAACTGAGTGTGTCCTGAAAATCTATTCCAGTCGAAGAGATTTGATTTTTTTTTCAAAGGTCAGAATCTTATTCCAAAAAGAAAACGCCGCCCTGATTTGTCGTCAAAATGCACGGGTTTTTTTCCAGTGATTTCTAATTCCCGGCGTTTTCCCGGTTTTCTGGTCCCCCTGCGATTTCGAACCGTTTGAGTGAAAATTCCAAATTTTGCAGCGTTGCACCTTTTGAACCTTCCAATAACGAACATATGAAAACCTACAATTAATTCTCTATCCCTCCTCCCACCCATGCAGGCGCCGACTCCCAGGATGCAATGGACTCGGCCTCGGCGGCCACCGGGGACAACAACGGCAACACGGTCAACGCTCTGTGCAGCATCCTTCAGGAGAAGAAACCTTGGAACGGCGAAAACTGCAACGGCAAAGGCAGCACGGGTGGCAGCGGCGGCTCTGCCGGTAGCAATGGAAACGGCAGCAGCTCGTCCGAATCATCCGAAGGAACGTGCAAGGACCGGTGTCTGGTGTGCAGTGTGTGCAACAATTTCTCCTCCAAGAAGATCAACGTCATGCAGCATCTGCTGCAGAATCACAACGTGGGCAACGAGCTGCTAGCGCAAGATTTCCCCAACATGAATGTGCCATCCGCGATGCAGAAGAAACCGTTCGACTACTTGCGCACGTTGACCGAGGCAAGGAGTGCCCAGAACTTGCGGTTGATCGAGAAGGTCACCTTTATGAACGATACCTTTGGCATGAAGGAGAACTGCAACGATCTAAAGCATGGCAATTTGGCGGAAATTCTGGAAAATTTCATGGGGGGAAAGGATGGAGATGGGGAGAAGGTAGAGAAGAACCCGATCCAGACGGTTTCGTGTCCGCTGTGTCCGGAGACGTTCCTGGATCAGGTTAACGTGGAAACGCACGTGATTCGAGTTCACAACATCAAGATGGAAGGCTTGAACCGACTGCTGAAGCTGGTTGATACCTCGCAATTTCTCAAAACCACTAAACAACAACAGCAGCAACAACAACAACAGCAGCAGCAACTCGGCAGTCCGGACAAGTCACCGAAGAAGGAAACCTCGCCCTCGCCCGAGATCAAATGTTCCTTCTGTAAGGTCTGCTTCGATTCGATGGTAGACCTGAAGATTCACTGCAACGAAAGCAATCATTTTAAGCGGAATGCCGAATCGGAGGATCTCGCTTGCTTCCTGAACGACTGCAAGGACGCATTCGACAATCTGTCCGATCTGCATCAGCATTTTAAGGCAAACCATCTGAACTTTTTGATCTCGGAGAACCACACCTACAAGTATCGCTGCAAGTTGTGTCCGTTTGCATTCAAGACGCACGAGAAGTTGAACCGACATCTGTTCTACCACTCGCTGCGGGAGTCAACGAAGTGCTTCTACTGCGATGCCCACTTCAAGAACATCAACTCGTTGACCAGTCACGTTGCGGAGAAACACCCGCAGGAGTCTGCTGCACAGAAGGGCGCCGATGGGCAGCAGGAGTCGGCATCGATCTTGTTCTTCAAGGATCTGAAGAGGAAGATGATGAACCACAAGAATGGGATGAGTCCAAAGTCGGATCGTAGTCAAACGCGGGATAGTGCGGATGAAGATCGACTCAGTGAGAAATCAATGAGTAGCAAGAGTAGCTTGTACTACGAGAAGAGTTTGGACGGGTCGGATGGGGGAGGCGCTGGGGTGGGGGTCAAGTTTTCCTGCAACGATTGTCGGTTCAGTTTTACGGATGCTCCGGCTCTCGAGCGGCATGTGACTACGGTGTTCCATATGCCGAATGAAAAGGACAAATCCTCGGCGGAAGGCCTGGCAGGAATGGTCAACAAGCAGCAGTTGTTCTACGATATCAAATCGGAAAAGTTTACCAATCCGAACAGGCCGTTCAAGTGTACGATCTGCATGGAAAGTTTCACGCAGAAGAACATTCTGCTAGTGCACTACAACAGTGTGTCGCATTTGAACAAGCTGAAGAAGTTCAAGTCGGAGAAGCAACAGCAGTTTCCATTTGCGGTTGGTGGAGAAGTGGGCGGCGATGGGTGTGAGCATGGTGTAGGAGGCAAGGACTCATCGACGGCGGGACAGCAACCGGACTTTAAGGCTTTCGGCTTGCCAATGTTTGGCGAAGTGGGAGAGAAGCGGAAGGATATCGAAGAGAAGGAAACGGCCCGGAAGAAGTTCAAATGCGACATCTGCAACGTGGCGTACACACAGGGAAGCACGTTGGACATTCACATGCGGAGCGTGCTGCATCAGACCAGGGCTTGCCGGTTGCAGGAGAGGAACATGTTCGGTCAGCTGCAGGGCAACGACAAGAAGAAGCCCGACTTTCCACTCATCCAGACCATTCCGGAAAGTCACGAGTCACCAAACTTCATCGACGACACACCCCTGCGCAAGATCAAGTCTCCGGCTGAACAGCAGCGGCAGCAGCAGCAACAACAACAGCAGCAACAACAACAACAACAACAACAACAGCAGCAGGAACCACCGCAACCTCCGCTAATGCCTCAGCAACCTCCTTTGCTGAATCCCATGATCGGAGCGTTCGGACTGGGAGCAGCTGCTGCCGCTGGACTTGATAAACCGGAAATCGCTCTCTGCGAATGCTGTTTCCAGGTATTCCCGAACAAGGCAACCTTGGAAACCCACCTGGACCTAAGCCCCGAATGCTCCGCTATTAAGAAAAAGATCATGGAAAGCAACGCCCCGCCAGAGAACAACTTCAACGAAAACTTCCAACAGCAAGCCCTAAACGAACTCGCCAAGGTAAACAACTCGCTTCCAGGATTCGACCTAACACCGGAAGTCCTCCTCGGAAAAACTCCCTTCCCGCTAGATCCATCCGCCAATCTTATGGATCCGAACTTTTTGAAAAACGCCTCGCTACTACAGTTTGCGACCGATCCGAACAACAAGCTCGGTCCGAACGCCCTAAACGTACTGAACTTTATGCACTTCCACCACCTGATGTCCCTTAGCTACTTGAACCTCGCACCGCAGCTGAACTTTGGAGGAGCTCCACAGAAAGGTCCAGACATCAACTCCAAAACCGATCTCGAAAAGATCATCCCAGTGGACAAGACCAAGCTGTCACAAATGCATCAAAATCTCAACGGCAAATCTACCCTCGAAATGAGCCTCATGCAACACAACCTGGAAAACAAACTCCCTCCGCAACCTCCGCAGCAGCAACCATGCACCCAGAAGCGTGCCAGAACTCGCATCACCGACGATCAGCTCCGCATTCTACGCTCGCACTTCGACATCAACAACTCGCCCAGCGAAGAAAGCATCCAGGAAATGTCCCTCAAAGCCAACCTTCCGCCCAAGGTCGTCAAACATTGGTTCCGGAACACCCTCTTCAAGGAACGCCAACGCTCCAAGGACAGCCCGTACAACTTCAGCATCCCCCCTTCCACCAAACTCAACGTCGAAGAATATGAACGCACCGGCGAGACCAAGGTAACCGATCTCCAGTCCAACGACTCCCAGGACACCTCGCAACACTCCACCGATACGAAAATTAACGAGATCAAGCAGAGTTTCTCCAAGTCCTTGATAGAATCCTTGTCCAAGCACCAGGCCAGTCAGGAGATGGGAAACCTTCAGCTAAGCAAAAACCTTTTTCCGGACAACTTTGGCGCCCCGGATTTTCAAACCCAGCACGAGCAGGTCAACGCCCAACTTCAAGCCAACGTAGCCAGTTTTTTCTCGCAGCAGCAAACTCAGCCGGATATTACGCCCAGCAAAAAGAAGAAAATCAAATCCGAATCCTCGAATGCATCCCCCATCCCAGCGGACCTGCAGATCGATTCCACCAACTCCAGTCCCCTTCCGATGCGTCCTCCCAGCGCCATCTCCCTCAAGAAGCACATGTCCGATCCCCGCCCGCAGCTCGTCGGAACGCCCGTCATGATGGAGGAAATGAAGATCCCAAGTCCCATCGATAGCCCCGTCATCTCCCCGCCCAGTTCAATCGCCGGTGGAATGCTTTCGCAGCAACAAATGGCCCAGAATCAGGCAATCACCTGTTCGAACGGGAAGCGTGCCAACCGAACCCGGTTCACCGACTACCAGATCAAGGTGCTGCAGGAGTTCTTCGAGAACAATTCCTACCCCAAGGACAGTGACCTGGAGTACCTTAGCAAGCTGCTGATGCTCTCGCCGAGGGTCATTGTCGTGTGGTTCCAGGTAGCATTGATGGGTTTAAATAATTTTACCGGACGTTGAGATCATGAACGTTTGTTTGTTTTGCAGAACGCCCGCCAGAAGCAGCGTAAGATCTACGAGAACCAGCCGAACCCGACCTTCGAAACGGACGACAAGAAGGGCATCAACATCAACTACACCTGCAAGAAGTGCAACCTGGTGTTCCAGCGGTACTATGAACTGATCCGCCACCAGAAGAATCACTGCTTCAAGGAGGAGAGCAACAAACGGTCGGCCAAGGCACAGCTGGCAGCGGCCCAAATCGCCCACTCGTTCACCAGCGGCAGCGAGGATTCCGACTCCAGCATGGACGTGAGCCGCCGGGACTTCCAACCGCGGGAAAACGACTTCCCCCTCTAGGGGTCGGCCGACGCTCGGCTAGAGTGTTCCAACTTCTTCGGGAACTTTGGCTAGAGTAGAACAGCAAGCAGAATTTTTCCTGCATCCCAGTGATTCCACAAACGTCTTCTGTTTACCTGTACTGTATCGTGTGCCGCCAGTTAAAACCTATACCTTTAGTTGTCTGAATCCCTCAGGACTTAATTTTAAAAACCACTTCCAGTGATTTCGTACATTCCCATTTCTTTTCTAATTTTTATTTTATTTCGTTTGTCATTAGTTAGTAGCGCTGGCGCGAATTTTTCCTTTTCGATTTTCAAAATTTTCCATTTGTTTTGCCAACATCTCCTAAAATAATTCGACATTCCAACCGTAACTAGATTCGTTTATGTTTGACTTTCCAAAACAAAAATCTAAACTATTTTTATATACACTTTATTGTGAGAGAGAGAGAGAGAGCGAAGAAAAACGTAACGAAAACAATTCCCCGCATCAAATGTAATGTGAAAGTTCCTAAAAGTAAAGCAAGCAAGTAAAGCAAACAAGATGAAAGAGAATGAAGTAGTAAAATGCGAAACGAAAGCATTGTTTGTAACTCATTTGCCATAATTGAAATGAATTGAATGAAAGAGCGTCGAGAAGAACAGCAAACATACAAAACCAACAAAAAACAAGAACTGCTAAACGATTAAACAAACAAACAAAACAAACAAAAAGACATATAGATAATTATATTGTTTTGTCATTTTTATTATTGAAAAATTTTATTGAAAAGCAAAGCAGGCGAATAAATCCAAGCAACATCATGGAGATTGTTATAAAAAAAACCTAAAACAAAACAAAAACCTTGCCTGCTGTGATTCTACTTTGATCCGAAACTTCCTCCACACTTCGAACAGAAACCATGGAAACGCACGGTTGTTTATTTCGCTCACTGTTCTACGAAGGAAAACTGTCATACCGAAGAGTATGACGTCACCCCAAACGACGCACATAAAATTTCCCCCCTCAGCGAGGAGAGAAGGTCGCCGTCGGCGAATGAGAGAGAGAGAAGACATAGCAAAAGAGAGAATCGCGCCGCTGTCGTCGACACGCTTCGGTTGCGATTCCGAATCAAAACAACTGAAGCGTAAACAAACCGACGACGGCGGCCGAGTCAATTCAGTCACCGTGCGCATTTTTGTCTGCCCTTTGTACCACCGCCGCCACCCATACCAAACAGAGAGCGAGCATCATAGAGCATAGGAGGAACAGCGTAATATGTATGCACAGTCCAAGTCCTCCCCCATATGCGGTTAGTAGTGTGTCGTGTCATCGCAGTTGTGAAGAGAAGAAGCCAGGATGAGCGAAGCTGTTTAGGTGAAAGAAAATCGGTGATTTGATTGGTTGGTGAATTGTAGTTTAAATTTTTGCGAAAACTAAAGTGAATCTGAAGACATTCAGTGCTAGTGAAACTGGAACACATTTGTGCAAAGGTGTGAAAATTCATTTCATAATTTTTTTTTTCCCGTGGGTGAAGTCCCCTACCTAAGCAGATCGATTTCCGAGAGGAAAAGTAACCAAAACTCGTTTGAAAGATGTTTGCAGCAGCAGCCAGCAATTTGATTGATTTGAATAAAAGTTCCGTTCCAAATTCTGTCAATAGTGTTTCATTCCGGAGGTTTCGATTGCTGATGAGGTTTCTGAATTTTCCGTAAAACGTAAGGAAAATCTTTTATCCAACGAGGATGACACAGAGTGGCTGCTGCAGCAGCGGAGCACGTGTTACGGTTGAGTGGCTCTTGTACGCGCCTGTCAGATTGCGGAATCCTGGTCGGATACGCGCCAGGCTGCCAAGCACTTACTAGAGAGAGAGAACCGTTTGTGTCCTGGAAAATTTAAATTTGATTAACTCGAGGATGAATGGGGTTCGGGAGACCTGTGTGTGTGTGCATATTTTATCAGTTGATGTCCTCGGTTGGAAGAAAAGATGAAAGGGACAGCTCGGAGCAGAAGCTGGCCTTTTGGAAGGGTTGTCGTTCTTTGAAGAAATGTTTTGCTGGCAGTGTAGGTAGTTACTGAATGTAGATAATTCCAAAGTGATTTGAGATTTGGGCGTAATTGCTTTGGTAAACAAAGACGTCAATTGCCGATTTCTCTTGAATTAAATCTCAATCTCTTGAACAAACTATACCAAATGATAGAGGAATCATTCCTCTACCGCGTTATTAGTTTTCGAGATTGAGCTTTAATTCGTGAGAAATCAGTGATTGACGTGTTTGTTTACAAATGCAATTGCGCCCAAATCTCAAATCACTCCGGTAGTTGTAACTTAACTATATCCCGAAATATAATAATTATAATTTATATAGTATAACATAGGGGAAATGCAGGTAATGTCGGCCTAAGTGTCCCTAATTTTATCTAGAAAAAAATTGATAAATAGCAGATTTTTAGCGATAGGCTAAATCTTAGATCCATAGGCCAACATTAGAGACATTTCCTCTACAATCAGGGTTATTCTGCGCGGCGCGTGAGGTGAGGTGATGCGAGTAACTTGGGATGAACCCGATGAACTCTCACCTTAAGGCCCACGCACATTAGGTCCAGATAGGACGCGTTGCGGCAAAGTGACGGCTATTGTCTAGCTGTCAAATTTACGTCAACGCAACGCAAACGGATCTAATGTGGGTAGCCCTTTATTCTCACAGTCGTTTTTCGGTGATAAAAGTCGTACTGAAGTGACGATTTTAAGTGTCAAAAGTCGTAACCTTCGCTGCTGTCGACTGGATGGAAACCGTTGGAGTTATTATATAAGCGATGGTTGCGGTTTTTGGTAATTTATTACTTATATATTTTTTCCAATCAACTTTTTTATTGTTTCCAGCCAATGATTTCTTCTGCTCAATATGGGTATTTTTGGAATTGAGGTGACGTGTACGGACCGGAGCGAGGACCAGAGTTCGATGTCTGAGGCCATTTTGAAATCAATATGGCGGCTTCCGGTTAGAGAAAATTTTTGAAATTCTGCTAAATACCCCACAAAACTGGTACTTTTGGAGTTCAGGTGACGTGTGAGGACCGGACATCGATATCTGAGGCCTTTTTGAAATCCAAATGGCGGTTTCCAGTTAGAGAAAAATATAAAAAAATCTTTCAAATATCCCTCCTGGGTATTTCTGGAATCGTGTAGATGTGTAGAGACCGGAAATTCATGTCTGACGCTATGTTGAAATCCAAAATGGTGGCTTCCGGTAGAAGAAAACCATGAAAACACTGTCAATTACTCCACAATATGGGTATTTTTGGAATCGGACTGACATGTAGAGTCCGGAAAGCAATGTCTGACGCCATTTTGATGTACAATATGGCGGCTTCCGAATACAGAAAAACTAATACACTGTCAAATACACCACAGTATGGGTATTTTTCAAATCGGGGTGACGTGTAGGGTCCGGAAATCCATGTTTGATGCTATTTTGAAATCCAATATGGTGGCTTCCAGTTACAGAAAAACAGAAAAATACATGTGGTTTTTCCGTCCCTACACGTCACTCCGATTCCAAATATACCCATATTGACGGGTATTGGACAGAATTTCCAAACTTTTCTCTAACGGAAAGCCACCATATTGAATTCAAAATTTCGTCAGCCATGGATTTTCGGTCTCTCCAACATCACCACGATTGCAAAAATACCCATATTGAGAGGTATTTGATAGTATTTTTCAATTTTTCTGAAACTGTAAGCCGCCATCTTGAATTTCAAAAAGGCGTGTGACTTTGATTGTCGGTCCTACACGTTACCAAGATTTCTAAAATACTCATAAGGTGGTGTATTTGACAGAATATTACAGTTTTTATTTAAAGTCGCTACGCGTCACTCCGATTCCAAAAATATGATATTTGACAGAATTTCTAAAATTTTCTCTAACCGGACGCCGCCATCGTGAATTTCAAAACGATCTCAGACATCGATGTTCGGTCCTCACACGTCTCCTCAACTCCAAAAATACATTGTGGCTAATTTGGCAGTATTTCCCAGTTTGTCTCTAACCGGAAGTCACCATATTGAATTTCAAAATGGCGTCAGACATGGTTTTTCGGTCCCTACACGTCACTCCGATTCCAAAAATACCCATAGTAAGGGGTATTAGACAGTATTTCCCAGTTTTTCTCTAACCGGAAGCCACCATATTGAATTTCAAAATGGCGTCAGACATGGTTTTTCGGTACACGTCACCCCGATTCCAAAAATACCCATATTGAGGGGAATTTTACTGAATTTCTCAGTTTTTCTCTAACCGGAAACCGCCATCTTGAATTTCAAACCGACCTCAGACATCGATGTCCGGTCCGTACACGCCACCTTGATTCCAAAAATACCCATATTGTGGATAATTTGACAGAATTTCCCAGTTTTTCTCCAACTGGAAGCCGCCATATTGAACTCAAAATAGTGTCAGACATGGGTTTCAAGTCCCTACACGTTACCATGATTCCAAAAAATTGAGAGGTATTTAACAGAATTTCCAAATGTTCCTTCAACCGGAAGCCGCAATATTGAATTTCAAAACGGCCTCAGACATCCATTTCCGGTCCCTACACGTCATCAAGACTCCAAAAATACCCATATTGTGGGTAGTTTGGCAGTATTTTCCTGCTTTTCTCTAACCTGAAGCTGGCATATTGAATTCAAAATGGTGTCAGACATGGGTTGCCAACTTAACGAAAATTTGAAGCATCAAATTTTTCTATACATTTGCTTAGGCCACAAGGTGTCTTTCCTAACAGAGACATCACATAGTTGGTACGAAACGAAACAAACCGAAGCTGCATTTCCATTCGATCTTCGGACGTGTTCGTATCGTTCATCACGCAGCAACTCAACACAGAGCAGCTCAACACTCGTAGGTCAGGTTGCCAGCAAGATAAATAGTGAAAAATCAACACCGCCACTGTTCGGGTACAGTTGCTCTTCGTGCGATACGCCACAGTGTCATCATCATCATGCCGGAGAGCATCAACTCGCTCACCGTATCCGTGGAGATAGCGCCTACAGATCTCAGTATTCCCCAACAACAACCCGGTATCTTGTACCAAACCCGTCGCTGCCAGAAGAATACGAACCTGAGTGTCATCCACGCTAAGTGTGTCATCATCATCACCTCAAGCTCGTTGCTCGGATTATCAGTATTCTATAGTACAAGTGTAACTAAACCAAACGACCCTTGTCAAGCTCGTCAAGGCCATCAACATTTTTTGCAAAGGGGCTGTCCATAAACTACGTAGACATGTTAGGGGGGGTTGGGAATTATCCACGACCCATACAAATTAAAAAAATAATACTAGATACAGACCTATGGGGTTGTACGGAATGGTGACGTCGGACTACGTGGTCTTATATAATAAATCTTATTTGTTAACTGCAGCAGGAGCTTGTGTTTTGTGTAGGAATAAGAATTTGAGCGGAGTTCTCTCTGTTTATAATTTTTAGTGTGACGCGCTTGACATAGATGGCACGAAGAGCTACGAAGAGCTGCAGCTCGCTGCTTGCAGGAAGCCTTTCGTTGTGTACTGGAGAACACCAACACTCACCACGCGGTGATTGAATAAACACCGTTTGGTGATACCAGATGGAATTCAACTTTGAAATCTGTGTTAGGGAAATCGCTTTTCGCAGGCAATCGGTGATAATTTTAATTATCATAGTAGTTGCACATTCGTGCAATTTTCAATAGTGACATTTTGAACATTTTTCAAAGTCTTAAATTTAACAGATGTGTAGAAATGTTTCTGACCGATTGGTGATAAAATTATTGAAATTGGTCCAGGGGCAGCTGAATTATTAACGTTCAAAATCTTGCATAATTTTGTTACATGCCCCATTTTCGGGTTTCACAAAGTGTACCCCCATATAGAAATCACAGACGTAGTCCTACGTCAAAAATTATGGACAATTGTCTACGCAGGGGGAGCGGGGAGGGGTCAAGAATCCCAAAAAAAACTGTCTACGTAGTTAATGAACAGCCAAAAGAGTGAATTTAAAATTGTTTATAACGACCGTCCACCTCGCTGCCAGACCAGCGCTCGTAGGTAGTCAACCAAGGACCAAAACGTTTGTGGGTTCTTTCCACTAAACAAAGCAAGGTACGCAAGCGTTCTACTACTCCTGCATCGGAGGGCCCTAGTAAGAAGTCCCAAACGGACGCCAGCGCTGTTTCGGATGACGGAGCTAATCGGCTGCTACAGAGCAACCAATTGTCAGTGCTCAGAGTTGAAAATGGCGGTGGTGACGCCGCTGTAATTGCCAAAAAAGGAGCGGATTCCCCCGCTGTTTACCCCGATGAATGACGTCGTCAAGCTTAGGGATGAGCTGGGAGAACTCAAATTGTTCCCGCGATTCAAGATCTGTAGCGTAGGAACAAAGATCACGTGTTCCAGCCTATAGGAGTACAAGTCGGTCGGTGACCTACTGAAGAACAGTACGGATGAGT